CTTGTCCTCGCACATAGCCAATGCTTTGTCCAAATAATCGAAACATGTGCCACAAATTTGAGTCAGATGCTTTTGTTCATTGTCATTGTCGAAAGAGCCACGCACTGTCAGAGCAGAACTTCTTCTCTTATGGGAMSGGTGACTCTCWTTGTTGCGTTCTCCGAAAGCGWCAGCCRGGTTGATTTCATCMACATGGRAAAGAATGCTGTTGGCCCTGTGCCGACGTGGATTCTGAGATCGAAACACTAGCGATGAACGGCGCTCTGGAGCTTTTTCGAGCTCTAACTTTGGGGGGCTTGCAACAAAAACAATTGTTGCGACTCYATGATCTTTTTTGAGGGTTGCCTGAATCTTATCGAAAAAAATGCAAGCCGACGAGTCGAGACTGCTYACCAATGTRCAGTCGAATATGACGATACTATCGTGAATTTCTCGTTTGCCTAAATATYCAAATACCTGATCCTGAACTTTGGCAATGTTGCCGAAAAATACAGAACCCTGCAACTGGATTATGACAATCTTTTTCCGACCGGTGATAGGATTGTCCAGGACCGCCAATTCCAAGTCATTCCTTTGGCGACTTGATGGAAATGTTRCCGCATCACAYATGCGTCGGACTGGGTTTTCATTTGAGCTCGAGAAAGTCGATGTGAACAAGGCCATGAACARTGCAGCAATAAGCCCAGAGGTCTGATCGAAAACAGTAGTGACTGTGATAATGACCCAGATACTKGTGTACTCCAGAGGATCGCACTTGCTGTTTKGATCTGCAACGCCTTCCAAGAAAAGGTTGATGCCCACGTCAATTAGCATTGCACTGGCCATGCATCGCGGCAGGTATCCCCCCAAAGCAGGTCCATACACAAAAGAGATGAACGAAGTGCCGGCAAGGAGAGAGTTTGCAAACTTTCCCTTYCCYCCCGAGTTGACATAAAGGGCTGTGCTTGAGTAGCACGCACAAGCTGGAATACCTCCTGGTACAAGCAAACCAGAAATGATGTTGGGTAAGCCGTGAGCAATGAATTCTCGGTCCAAATCAAAGTCGTCCATGTCGAGCAAGGTAGCAATCGGAGGGACAAATGGTGCTGTGACCATCACCGCGAGAATAGATGTSGCAAATATCTGCGGTACGGCTTGGAAGGCCACATCCCACTGCACCTTTGAAAAATCAAATTTTGTCCACAACTCTGCGGCCTCAGCAAATACAGATGGTTGGTCGTCTGTCGTATTTGCAGTAGGGGCTTTGAACAAGTACCCCGCTTCTACCAMTTCATCAAAGGGCACACCAAATACCGTGATCACRCAGTAGAAAACAATAGGAATGGACAAATAATAGGTTGGGTCTAGCAAGAGGAAACGTTCCGGAGGGATGAAAACTCGAAGTGGACGAATGGCAAGTCCGAAAAAGGCGGAGAGGAAAAAATGAGGAGTAATCATGTAGTTCCACAATCCATCKTCGTCTGCCCCGTCGAATRCATGAGGAGATACCGAAACAGTTACAGACTGCTTCGCAGCCCAAACACCGACACCCCCAATKACACCGAGAACGACATAGCTGGGGAAGAAGGAGAGAATCTTGCCGATGCGAAAGGCTCCGCACATAAGAAATGCAAGGCCCACGGAWATTGTCGACAACGATATGAGATATGCCGTAGTGGGATAAATCCTAGACGGATCATCTCCACAATTATTCGCTGCTATTTCTGCAAAGGCCTGATAAAATGGCGCCACCTCTGCCATCGCCCAGAGAGTCAACGCCTCAAAACTAGTCATTTTGCCGCCAATTAACGTTTGGCAGATGCCGAGTGCCAGCAGACTCATTCTGAGACCTAGCTTCTCCTTGACTTCGTGACTCAGCGGGACATCGTTGGAAAAGAACATAGTGCCGAAGGGAATCGCGAGCATGATGTTCCAAGAAGCAAGAACCATAACGGCAGGTATTGTTGATATCATTTCTGTGATGGATGCCAACCAAGAGGTKGCKACTCCTTCTGCTCCCCGGTCTTTGCCAMCAGCATTGTTCGTGCTACCTTCTTCTGCATTATGTATGGAGTTGTAGCCGYGGTCTCCATCTTGCCAAGATCCTTTCGACTTGGGGATCAGTTGCTCGTCATCACGGTAACCCATTTTCTCAAAAATCTTTATTTTGCATGAACTAAACTGTACGAGAACGTAACGGTGCAGTGTTAGTACTGTATCGTATTTTTTGAAAAGGAATTGAAGATCTTTCGAGATGACATGCTTTTCAAAGATCACAGACGGGAAGTSCGTTACCCTACAGTACCAAGTACTACTGTACGTACCAGTAGGTAAGCCGCTGAATTAAAGTGCCTTACAGTACCATGAAATTCTTCATGGTACGGTACGAGTTTAGGGGGTCGTAATGACCCCTGAACTAAACACTGAACTAAAAAACGTGGTGAACTTCGATACTGTAATGTAGTACAGTAAATCTCAGTAGGAAATCCATCGTTCAGCTTTCTCTGTGTAAAGAACGTCCGATTCCGCAKCACAGTGGGAACAAATGACCAATAATCGATTATCGATTTTCATTGGTCGAAATCAGTGATTACGTATTTTCGTAGCCATTAGTCAAACCCGTGCCAAAAAAGGGTATTCTCCATGAGGGCCCTGAAAGTCTAATGGATACGACTCAAAACTCACGACTGGAAAGGTCTGTCCCTCGGACCTTCTTCCTTTGAAAAGAGTACGTAAAGGACTAAAAAATGTTTCGAATTTGATGGCTCTGTCTTTTCTTGCTAAAGCGATTTGGGGATTCACGCCATCAATTGTATTACGTACTACAGCAAAAGAAAAGTCGTCAATTGATTACAGCAGTACCGAAGCCCAATATTCACATGGAATTACTACAGATCTGAACTTTTCTKCCTCTCTCATGGAATAGAGTTTCATCACTTTCGAGGAATAACTAAATTCCCGGCGTRCACCAATCAACAGACAATCTACAAAAAATATATCAGTTTGCATGCTTGTTTGTCAAGTGGGAAAGAAGGCGACACTTGTATCGAAATAAYAGCACTTCGCCAACAAACATATTTCCTCTGGTGTTTCTCACACGTCAAAGACTTTCYCCATCATGACCGGGAGAAATGCGGCTATTCTTTCTCTGAAAAGCACTAACGAGACGTGCCCGTGTGCCGCAACACGTTTGGACTCTTCTTTGGTCACGGCAATAGCCACCGCAGCGACCGATCGATTGCTRCAGCAAASTGATGACAYGACCTATTCTGGAGATGGCACACCTCAAGAAAGTGAAAATRRTTTGTTTCAAGTAATTTACACGTGCGTAGTCCTCTTCTTGATGTTTGCAGCGTTGATCTCCGATCGGATTGGTGCCGATTCTGTGATGATGGCTTCCCTGACCTTCTTCATGGCCGCAAACATTATCACAATCGAGGAGGGACTCGAAGGGTTCGCAAACGAGGGCTTGCTGACAGTGCTAGTCTTGTTCGTGGTRGCAGATGGAATTAGCAAAACCGGAGCACTGGATTGGTACATGTCAAGACTGCTGGGACGACCGGCAACGGTGGCAGCGGCACARACGAAATTGATGATTCCCATTGCGATTATATCGGCATTTCTGAATAACACACCCGTAGTAGCAGTAATGATCCCAATCGTGCAGAAGTGGTCAAAAAATATCGGCCAATCGGCGCAGCAATTGCTGGTTCCACTTAGTTTTGCGAGTATTTTGGGTGGGACTTGCACGCTGATAGGAACATCAACGAATCTTGTTGTTGCGGGATTGTTGGAAAAGCAATATCCAGAGATCAAAATGGGGCTTTTCGACCTGAGCATTTACGGTGTTCCTATTGCCATGGTCGGTATTGTGTATGTTTTGCTTGCTTCGCCGTGTTTGTTACCAGGTGGGAAAGGTGCCTCATGTCGTGGCGGAACTGGTACCGGTGCGATTGACATTACCGGTGGAAGCGGAGGAAATGATAGCGAGCAGGATCTGTTGTTGGGTGCGAAGCTCATGCCCTGGTCACCGGCCGCTGGTCGTTCAGTCAAACGCTCTGGTTTGCGTGACACAGGAGGTATTTATTTAGTTAGTGTGCATCGAGCTGCTACTGGAAACGTCCATCGAGCTGTTGGTCAAGATTTTGTTCTAAACGTTGGTGATGTCTTGTATTTTACCGGTCTGGTAGAAGAGTTTGGCGAATTTTGTGAAGATCACGCCATGGAAGTATTGACAAATGAACTAGAAGARCAAGAAGATACCACTGAAAATGAAGGATCGAATAGTCTTTCGCAAAATGTGCCTACAGATATTGCTAGCAACACCGAGCAAACCTTCTACACTCAGGTCACCAAAGAGCGGCAGTCGAATACACAATTAGTTACTGTTTTGGAGGGTGYCGAGGAAGAACATCCTAATACGGAGCGCAGTTCCARCGCCATGCCCGTGGTGGAGGTTGGTTTTACGAAGGAATCTTTGTTACAAGCCGATGAGGCAGAGCGATCCAGAATTATTACTCGCATGATTGATACARTTCGAGGTGTAGCACGAGAGGAACCGACGCAACAGGAACACACTTATCTGAACATAGATGTTCGTGAACGAGGAAAGAAATATGCTCAGCACGGTGCTCATAAAGTTGTTGTGACTTCCGAACATGGATTCGTTGTGGTTGGCGTCGACGCACGAGACCGCCCCGGCCTTTTGCTAGATATTTCGAAGGGTTTGYTGCGGCTGAATTTGACTCTGCGCCATTCGGAAGCTTCCGTGGTTGGAAGCCGATCTATTTCTATTTGGAGATGCGAGGTAATTGAGGCTGCATTGCCTGATTTAGAAGAAATCTGGACTGTGATGAATGGTCTGCTTGAGTCGTTCGATCAGGGAGGTAGCCAGGCCATGAAGAGGGGTGGATTGCGGGTGATTCGAGCAGTTGTCACGGCAACATCCAGTTTAAATGGCAAGAACATGAACAACGTTGATTTTCGGGATCGATATAAGGCTGCTGTGGTGGCAATCCAAAAAGGAGGTCGGAATGTCCCGGTGACTGGTGTTGTGTTTGGATCYGGTGATGTRTTGGTTTTGAAGGCAAACGAYRATTCGCCTTTGCTGAAAGAGCCACCACCGGATTTCTACAAACGCGGTGTCAATGATGGCGCAAAGGGTGAGRCGGGTTCTAGAAGCGGCTCTTCTGTCAATTCATTCATTAAACGGATGAAGCGAAAGGTTAGCARTGCCACTTTGAATACTTTAAATAGCAGGAATAGCGAGGCCGAGTTCAGAGAGTCCAAACAGAACAATGCTGATGAAGGCCTAGATCTCGAGGCGGCGAGAATTAAAAMTGAAGCCGATGTTTCGTTTGACAATGCTGAAGACTATTTCATTGGGGGCAAYGGACAAATAGATGATGACGACTACGATAATGACGACGACGACTACGATATTAATGAAAACGGCAATGGAGTGAAACTAGTCATTGACAATATCCAGGCTAGTATGAAAGCAATTACTGCGGAAGAAGAAACATGGAAAGACCTTCAGGTCATATTTGTGGATAAGGATCAGCAAAGAGCAGATGACGGGGCTCGTGAGTTCCTCACCGCAATGGAAATAGCTCCGAAGTCTAAGCTAGCAGATCGGACAGTAGCGGAAACAGGTCTTGACAAATTGCCGGGAGTATTCTTGGTCAGTATTGATCGTCCGACGGGAGAAACTCACAAGACTACGAGGGCTGTGAAAACAGGTACAATGAGAGCATTTCGAGCCGTTGCATCGGATGCTCGTTCAGTAGAAGAAAGCGATCAAGAAAGCCACGTTTCTTCGCTCCCAACTGTAGATCCAATATACAGAACAATCCCACCTGACGTACCTTTAGTAGTTGGAGATGTTCTCTGGTTTGCAGGAGGAGCTCAGTCAGTTGGTGATTTAAGAAAGATTCCCGGATTGATATCGCACGAGAAGGAAGAGGTTGAAAAGATCGATGAGAAAATGCACGATCGTAGRCTGGTCGAAGCAGTCATTGCTAGAAGAGGTCCTTTGGTCGGAAAAACTGTCAAGCAAGTGCGTTTYCGGACTCGATATGGTGCGGCCGTGATTGCTGTTCATCGTGACGGATCAAGAATTCATGAGCACCCTGGTAGAATAAGACTTCAGGCTGGCGATGTCCTGCTGCTAGAGGCAGGACCAACTTTTATCAAAGGGAGYTATGACAACGATAAATCATTTTCTTTGCTGGCTGAAGTAGAAGATTCTGCACCTCCGAGGCTCAAACTGTTGATTCCTGCGCTATTCCTAACAGTTGCGATGCTAGCGGTGTGAGTTTTTCTCTTCAGAGAAGAGAACGAATAGTTYCATAAATCCCTGATCAATCTAACATTCGACGTTTTGCTGSTTTTCTCGTGACAAATTTTGGCCACAGATACACAGCGGGGGTGGCATCTCTTCTCGTCTGCTCATTGGTTGCATCGATGTGCATGGTTGCGGTCGGTATTTTGTCYGAACAAGAAGCAAGAGATGCTGTCAATTGGGAAGTATTTGTTACTATCGCAGCAGCCTTTGGAATAGGCACCGCTTTGGTGAATTCCGGCGTAGCTGGAGGTGTGGCRAGTTTTCTTGTCACAGTTGGAACTTCAGTTGGAAGAGGATGTAAGTGTGTGGATCTGAATAAGGTCGTTMTTCACTATTTGATCAGTTGTCYCCTTTGTCTATCTCACTWTTTTCACATTTTCTTTCTTCTAGCTTCGGGATTGTTTGCTGCTGTCTATCTCGCCACSTTCTTGATAAGTAATGTTGTCACMAACAATGCAGCTGCTGCRTTAATCTTTCCAATTGCAATGGATGCGGCAGAGCAGACAGGTACAGATGTGATTCTCATGTCGTACTGTGTAATGTTAGGAGCATCTGCCTCATTCATGTCACCTTTTGGCTACACGTAAGTCATTTCGATGAATATTGATTGCAGAAGTTCTGGAATGTGGGTCCCAACAAGAAATATTATTCACTTTATTTTGCGTTMCCCGTTTTGCCATTCACAGAACGAACTTGATGATCTACGGTCCTGGAGGATACAAATACAACGACTTTTTAGTCATCGGAACTCCAATGCAAGTTGTTCTCTGGTTTCTTTCCGTTGCACTACTGGCAACRACAACCACCTCGAATTTTTATATTAGCTGGCTTATTTCACTCGGAGTCCTTCTGTTTGTGATGGGCGTTACGTCTTGCAATTTCGGGAATTTCCTCAAACTTGCAARAAAGTAAATCGACTACGTAAGTACGTTCTCTCAGAATAGTGCTTTCATAAAAATATAGGCAATAATACGACTAAATACGACTAGTACGACAGAGTGCTCAGTCAGCAGACTACAAGTAACAAAAATAAGATGGAAAATGAAATGATTGCTGTTCTAGTATGATTTGTAGTACTTCGAGTAGTACTTTTTAGTAAGTACGGTAGCAGCCATTATTACTGTATTTGCTAAAGGTACAAGAACGATTTCATGCGCTACTATACTGATAGCAATCAGGATCAACTCGAAAAGTTCTCGCAGTATTCTTTTCTAATGCCCTTTCTAGTGGGATCAATAGCAATTTTTCAGGGATTCAAAAAAATGACCCATTTTGGTCTTGAAACGGAATTTCGGAATTTCCTGATGTACCTGATCGGCGATGTCAATTACAGTARTTTGATTTAGACGCCGTCAGTCGTACGATACTTCATAATTCATTATATAAAAATGTGACCGGGGTATTAATTATTTTTTCCACACGATGTKTGTGTCACCACATCCCCATCACCGTCAAGTTTGAATAGGGCATTATGTGATCGTACCACAACAAAACCACGACTCGATAGGGAATTATGTACTCCTCGTCATCGACAACGTAATTTTGTTTTTCGGCCTTCAATTTCGGCATATATATTATTTTTARATTTATTCGTGCACCGGTTCGGAATTCGAAAACGAACAATCTCAACCGCTCGATTTCCTTCTCGGTCTCACTCAAGTAGTRGATAATATACAAGGTAGCGTGTAAAAGTGGTTCTTACTGCCGATGCCACRAAGCWTTTTTGGRAWTGAAGCAACAGGGACGAGAAATTTCKAATGTGTCAGAAGCCAGGCAGAATTTCTCAACGTCTCAMAATCAATCACCAAAAAAACACTCGTGTATTTCCATTCATACACCTCCAGTGTGAAGATTGATTCGCTYTCACAATATTGCACAGCCAAAACACGGTTGAAAGGTAGTGAGAAAACGAAGAAAGAAAACATTCGCTCATACAGAACAAATAAATCTCAACACAAAAAGTAAAATCATTCTGAAATTTTTGCAATATCGTATGATGATTCTAAATCCAAACATGTTGCRAGATGGTATCATTCCAATAAAGGGATCTATAGATCTTAAGAMATCAAATGCTATCACGACRAAATTACAACAGAAATACAAGTATAAATATAAGATGAACTTCGATTCACAATTGAAACAATACAGTGGTAATAACCTWTTGTTCGGTACTGAACTAGCAGGAAGAATCCAAAGAGACGACCACKKYAAACYTTCGCCTTCAAGCTCACGKTCTCTCGGCAGCCTGGATTTTTCGCACTCCCCTCTTTCCCAGGGGAAGAGCAGCGACTTCGGTGGGTCCGTTCTTGATCTGAGTCCCAAGCCAAGTGAGGCCCGCAATCGCCAACGAAGTGTTTCGGACTTGACAGCGACTCCACCGCGACATGCAAACACAGCCAAAATTCCTACACACTTGTTTTCGCTTCACTCTCCAACGAAGACCGACAGCAGAAACGATAGTACAATGAGAATACCTCTACCGTATTCGTTTCCAAACCATCCATCCCCAMCGACATCTCCAAAGCTGCTGAAAGCATTAAACAACGCGGAACAAGAATACAGAATGCTTCTTCRACATTCTGGAGCAAGGATAGGAAGCAACTATGGGACCTCACAGTTTGCTGGTCGGCAACAAAAACTTAAAGCTCCACTATCTTCCCTGCCAAGTTCAATCACAACTTCCAAGATGGATAATTCTTCCGAGTCTGGAAGACCCAAAAGGGGGAGATATGATGAGCCCCATGACCTCTCGAAGTTGTCTCCGCTCAAAAAACGGAGATTCTCTAATCCAGTTCAACGACGTCTCGTGGACCTAGAGCTGAAGCGAATCCAAGCTCAAGAGCAGGAAGCAAAACAKCACGAACCTCAAAACAACCTACCGAGAAGGATATCGATGACTGCACCAAATTTGCTGATGAAACTCAAGCATTCCTCGAGAACAAACATTTCGGAYTCGGGGAGTAGCATTGGTCTTTCGACTCCTCGAAGCCCACAACTAGCTGCCACCTCAAAAAATCATCTTGAAATGAAACAGAAATACCTCAAAAGTGCGGATGCGAATCTGAAGGCTRCAAGCCAATGGTCGAAACCCAAAGTGAATCGCACAAAACCTGCTGCCAGTAGTAGCAACAATTGGGCTGGAACGCAGAAAATGGTGTTTGTGACCAGTGGATTCCCCTTGCCACCATTGAGCAACACTGGTTCTGCGAAAGAAAAATCGATTTGCTCAACCGGCCTCMTTCGAAACAGAGTAAAGGCCAACATTGATACCTTTAARGATTTCAACCGAGACAACAGCAGCAAGAGGTTTGWTKTAGATAAGGYACCTTCGCTGACATCGTTTGGTCGCAAATGGRAYCAAATGGCCAAMCGAAACGTGCACATTAACGAACACAAGATAAGCAAGTCGGAACAGGATATGCTGCTGCGTGAGTCGTTTGGCAGGGCAATCACACGTCGGCCAGACGAATATATGTCAAGAAAATATAGACGCTGTTGATTAATTTTCATATTGTAAAATGCTTTAGGGAGAGTCTAGTAAATGGTAATGGTTACCTGACTAATTCTGTCACCTTGCTGCTGTTGTTGTTGTTTTATTAGTTTCCTTGTCGTTGCTCCCGCATGTTTTTCATGTCCTTCGTTCCCCWTATATGCGTCACGTCGACGTTTTGAAGTMATTTATTCTGTAGCGTAAAAGTTCTTCATGATCTCACCGTATTCATCGCCCATAAGGCCCATGATCTCCGTCCATAGCGGTTGGGCCTTTTTGGTTCCCATTCGATCACGGCTCTTGTTTGTGAAAACAGACACACAGCAATATGGATTGCGTGAGAGAAATTGGTTTCTSTTCKTGTGAATAGTTTCGCCCAWGGTCAAACTTCAAACATTCGCCATGGGCATTGCATTCACAAAAGACTTACCTTGAAAATAATGTTCTGCGATACCTTGGCCGGGAACCAAATCTTGTCGTCGACCTCCGACTGAAGAGATCCGGCATTTGACCAGATTGTCGAYTGAACAAAGAACTTGAAGTCGAATCCACTGTAGGCRCGATCCAGCGAGGGGTCTTCCATGGCGTCCTGCGCCTGGGCCGGRTCACCGCCCCAGTACACGTTGTCCTCGGTGATTTTTGTTGCGTCCTTGACGGTGGGACAKAGGTGCAGCATATCGAGACCCACCGAGAGCGAATCGATCCCGCCGAACCACARAGGCTGTATGCAAAATTTTTCCAGAATGGGWGCCATATCTTCGTTGCTATCGCCGYTATCAGYCGAGGGCTGTTCCAAATCTCCRAGGAGATACCCGGTGCGGCGGTTGAGCAAGACGCCCTGRACCTGTCCTCCCTCCGTGCTGACYACGACCACAACCGGCAGCAAATCCGCCTGCCGGTCGGCACCGAGGTGCCGGGGGGGTGGCTGCGTCAATCCGAACTTCGCCAGGAGGGACGGTGCGGGTCCGGTCCGTCCCAGGGCCGAGGCAAAGAAGTCCTTRCCTCCTCCGGATGGTTCGTTCGCGTCGGTTGACATCCTTCCGTAGTCTCCCTCGTCGCAAAACTTGCTCGGATTGGCCACCAGSACGGTWCCTGGTCCGATTTCCGTCGTGGCCTTGGCCCAGTCTCCGGGTGCAGCGGCCGGGACAGCCGAAGCAGAGGCCGAGTCTTCTTCGGCCTGCTGCTTGCGGGCGAAGTCGATSAGGTCGTCGATGGTTCCCATTCCTTCTTCCGCACTCTTGTCTCCATCACCACCAGAATCGTCAAACAAATTGGACATTTTGGATTTGAAATCGGCGATCGATCGCTCGTCAATTTCGGCGTATTCGTCSTCGTCGTCGTCGTCGTCATCCTCGCCGTCCTTGTTCATCTCAAAATCCTCGAAATCGTCGTARAAGGAGGAACGAAGTGCCATCCGGGTTGCGGTCGGTGGCGGCGTTGTCGAAAGAGCAACAGTATTGACTCTTCGACTTATTTCTCCGGAAATTGCTTCGTTCTGGTGTTGCTGACGATGCGTCATCGGCGGAGTTGTGGTAAATCCCTCGCAGACATGACGGCCGATGCAAAGGAGAACAGTGGCCTTGACGACGTATGTTGTTGCAGCGTTCATAATGGATGCAGTGCTGTTTGGTTTGATATTGGAAGAGCGATACTATGTGTACGAAGTGTKCTGAATTGCAATGATAGCAGTGCTAAAAGCGGATGAGGTCTGTGAATCAGGCACTGTAGTAGGCATGTGATTTGYATCAACGGTTCTCTTAGCCGTTCTGTAGGTATCGTTACTGACGGATACACTGACTGACTCCTCGAGTATCTTCGAATTTGAAATTCAATTCGAGAGGTGAAATCATTATTATGAAAAAWWTYTGTACTAGAAGTATCGTAGTCATTCATACGTCCTTTTGAACGAGYATTGCTAATACTGTAYTGTACGTAGGTGAATACAGTACGTACGTACCTTGGCCTTCCAACTTTCGCCATATCACGCAGATCATGTCATGCTTCCTACGTAGGGACGATACTATAGTATGGATCTTAGTTGAGATGTGGTCGGATGATAGATTTTTGAATATTGTACGAAGTAATCGGTCCTCAGTCCTCAGAATGCTTTGATTTTGGAACACTACGTAGTATCCTTATTCGTGTTGAAAAAAGAATAATTCAAACCTTACTAGAGAAATATTGGCTTTATTTGCTGATACGACTACAATTTAGTACCTATGCTATGAGTATTCATATACTACTAATAAATAATAATTCTTCATGAATCATGTTCTATTAAAGAAATTTAGAATTTCATCCTCCTCTTAGTAGAAACGGAATTAGGGTTTCTTCGCGCACTTGCTAATCTTTACTTGTAGCACTAATAACGGGGCTCTTGCGTTGYCCAGAAATAATCAAGTGGTGCGATGCTTTCTTCATGGACAGTTCTGAATCTATACGTTTAGGTGATTGAGATCTTTCGCTTTTTCTCGGTTGGCTTATGCTTTGGTGCCGAAATAAGCAGCACACCGTTGTTCAATGTTGCTTTCATTTGATCCATATCCACTTCGGTCTCTACAAATGCTACTTTTGTCTTGTATTTGCGTACAGGCTGGTCTGCACTCCCTGTGCTTCGTGTGGCAGTAACGACTAGAAAGTCACCATCTAAAGTTACATCAACTGCAGTACGATCGACCCCTGGTAGATCCACTGCTACTTGAAACACTTCTTCGTTGCTTCTATTTTCGGAGAAGGGAACCTCTTCTGATTGAATTTCCGACAGAACTTCCTCCTCGTCGTTTGCTTCGAGAGAGGGTTCCGGTCCACCTATCATGTCCTTCGGATCTTGGATCTTTGATTCCGGAGCGACAGAAAAGTTGTCCTGGTTCATATCTGAGTCGCCACCACCGCCATCGTTTGCGGCTTTGGTTTTCCCACTTTCGTAGTGGCGAACAACCCAATCGCGTGATTTCTGAATCATTTCGTCGGTTCTTTCCCGCTCTGTTGGTGTTGCTGCAAAGTCTTTGTTGAGTTCGGATGCTAGGTCGAATGCCTTTTCCAACCATTTCTTGGCAGTTTCCTCATTGATTTTCTCGAAGGGAAATTTTGTGGAACCCATTGTCTCCCAGTTGAATTGTACGTCCACACCATCCCCATAAGTACCATTTAGTTCTTCCTGAAGGTCACGAAATGCTCTATCCACAATACTATCATTTATTCGAAAGCGACCCTTTCGAGGAACCTTTCGAGGAGAGGATGCAAAGTTTTGGCCGTTGCCACTTGAACAATCGCTGCGACGTGATCCCGGTGTGCAAGGGYTRCGGTGAAGCGGTTGAGAGCTGTAAACGTATCCGTTTACTCTGGAGGCACCAAGTCCTACGAGAAAAACAACGGATGCAGGGACAGAAATTRCGAGTTTCATCGAGAGATGAGAATTGAATTTACGCTTTTTTAAGATCGGGTTGTAGGAATTCTTGTTTCAAGATTGTGAGAGGTGTAGGAATTATGTTCTATTCCTGCTGTTTTTTCGGGTTTTATGCTTTCCATCCAAATTTCGCATCTAGAATCCTTTGTCCACGATTGAAACGACACGTCGCAAAACATCAAGTCCAAGACGTTCCACGATGATCTGAGATGATGATTCCATGGTTCATTCAACGTTACTGTATTCTGTTTGTGATAGAAAAAAACAGTCAGTAGAATGGTTCGTACTAGTACAAGTATTGGTTTCCTCTGTGCACGATTGAAAATGCCATCCAACAAAAAACTGAAGAAGGACAGAATCTAAAATCACGGATCGTACGCTTGACGTGATAGTGACCTACCGTACGYACCGTACCCATAGGACGTAAGATGATCTGTACGTCATCGCCACTCGTACTACTACGATTAGTAGTACTCAGTTGTAATGTTGTCAATACTTCGTACTTAGTACGTACAGAACTGTACGTACCCCAAGTACCTGTACTATTCTTTTACTTTTTTGATCGATGTTTCATATTCATACCGTACCCAAACATGAATCATAGATAGATACTGTATCTAGTACCGGTACAGTAGTGTAACCTGCGAAATGTTTAGTGGCTCTTTGTTGTGTTATTTGGTCTACGTTAGAGAGGTCTATTTAGTGCTTTTCATTCACTCACTAGCTACTCGTGACTGTGGTTTAGCCTCACAAATAGTTTTCATATTTTCATACCGTACACTTAATTGTTTTCCGTACTCGTACTGGTAGGTCGTAACGCCAAAATACTTCTTTGCTCCGTGTCATAAATGGGCATAAGGACTTTTTTTCTTTCGGCGAACTGTACAAGCGCCGCCGGTGACGTTCMAAATGTTTTCCTTACTGTATATTTTTATGATCAAGAATTGTAATAACGGCAGTTTTTACACATTCGGTTGCACGAAATTCTGAAGAAAGGTCTTTTGGCGATCTTTTTTCGAATCCGAAGTTGTACTCAGTGAATGGAAAAGTGAAAGATATTTTTTACCCGCGAACTCTCATGRTCATAAAATCTATCTAACCCGAACAAACTCAAACGAAAGCCACAACAAATCTACGATGAAATTTGGAAGTTTTCTACTATTGACATGCCTTGCAGCTTCGGGCAACGCTCAGCTTCGAGATGGTAGCACAGCAAAACGCCGTCGTGTCGAAGCATCTAGCGAGAGCAACGTCATAGACCTCGTCGATGAGATCCCTGCATCCGAAATCAACAAGATCAAGCAACGATACCTCAGGCGACAAGAAGGTCCTCTCCCGGTTTCGAAATTTACCAGAGTATATCCCAGAATTTCCAAGGTTTTTTCCAGGATGGAAGAATCTGATGATGCTGATGATATGAGCATGTCCATGAGCATGTCCATAAGCATGAGCATGTCCATGAGCATGAGCATGTCCATGAGCATGTAAACCGTGCCACATTTTGGCCAGAATGATATCTTTTGGATCCTATTCGAAAAGCATTTYTTTGACAAAAGCGATTCGCTACRGAGGGGTTCAATTTATGCCCCCTAGGGTGCGTCGTATGTTTCTTGACTACCAGTTGTTCGAGGTTCTCAGGTGACGAATGTATATTAAGAACAGATTTAAATGCGTAAAATCTTTCGATCAAAATCACTAGCTCAATATCAAAGATGAGATCGAACACTTTGCTAATGTCTCCTCGCATAAGCATAAGCATAAGCATAAGCATAAGCATACGCATACGCATACGCATACGCATACGCATACGCATACGCATACGCATACGCATACATATAGCGCAGGTAGGTGTAATTTTGTGAACTCAAATACCAGCAGCAATAAATATACTAGTGAAGTACGAAGTATATAATTACCAAAAAATAAGATGACTTCCATTCTATTTCGTGGCAAATACCATTGGTTTGCTGCGACTACTTTAAGAGCCTGATGAGAACTGGAATTTAAAGATTKTGTAAACTTTTGCAAATGTGCAAATAGTACTATTAAACAAAAAAGTCTTGATTTGTCTTTCACCTGTTTCCAAACTGTTCGACATTTTGAAGGAAATCATGCCAGTCGAAATGGAACGAAAAGTGTAATGCATTCCATGTTTCACATCAATAATTGTTGTTTCGGTCGACCTAGCTAACGCTAGTGCTGTTCCCATACAATATGCGACAGRCAGCATGCGCCATTCTTACGCGTTACCCTGGATTTCGCGGTAACGTCCACCACCATTCCGAACGTATCGTCCCCATACGACCGACCGAACTTCTTTTTTTCGTCTCCCGATAAAGCTTTACCTTTCGTTGTGCGAAGATCACCCAATGTTGTTATTTTTGCAGTCTCGGGAACTCCAACATTGACACACGTTGGTCGCTTGAGGTATTCCGCGGCGTCCTTGACAATGTGGATACTTTCACTGGTCACTGGAACGCCGCCGACGATGATTTCCAAGTCTCGATCCAGTTTGCAAGCTTTGTCATCACGCTTATCGTTTGCTTCGCAAATAATAAAGTCGTCGAACCAATGTTTGGCATTTGTATCCAGAACATGGTTGTCACCGTGTCCGTGATGAGCATGATCATGCAATGCTCCCTCAAAAGGGAGCCACAGCCGCAATTTCCCACTTTCCGGGATCCCATACATAGCTATTTTCATGTCTACATATCCTAGCCCCCCGCATTTTTCCACCTTTCGTTTCGTATCACGTTCTACCTTGCTCACGTCAAGAACCCAGCCCTCTTTGTAGTGTTCGTCAGTTCTGTCAATCATAATGTCTAGATCTCCCTCAGCCAATCCAGATACCACCACGGATTTTAATGTTTTGTCGTGATCAGTTGCGGGCAAAAATGAAGTTCGACAAGACAAGTCCTTCATCATATGATTGTCTCCGTGCCCAAACAARAGTTCTGTCACTTCTGGGTCATTGGCAGGCAATGATTTCGAAATGGGTGCTCCTAGTTTTGGCATCTCCACCGACAGCATGCGCGAGGTCTGGCTTGGTTCTTCTTCGGACGACAATTTCAAGGCCCTATCCATCGCCTCAATAAAATGCATAGCGATCATCCATCCCATCATAGAATGCTCTTGCTTTTTTGGATGCCAGCTACCTCGTCCTGGACAATTCGCGGGCTGTAAATAAGTGGAGTTTCGTCACAAAAGGAAAGTTTTAGGATACAGTAAAAGAAAAGAGAACGAGCAGAAACGTGCGAAAATAATTCTTCGCGAGTACTTGTTCTTGCCAATACAATATGTATGTAACATCTTTGTGAAGGCATCCATTGCAACACAAAATTTCCCAGAAGATCTCATTCATCGTGTTCAGTACTTCCAATAAAAAATAGGCACAATCGAAGAAAGAATCGACTCACCGCACCAAATTCATTCCAATCTTGAAATCCAGTTGGCAAATCTTGCGCATCACCTTCGAAAATGTTTGCTTGTTTCAAAATGTCCTTGTTACCGATCGCAATGGCGTCCTTGAGCCACCCATTTTGGGTGTATGTGTCAAGGGTTTTCATACGGTTGGCATTCGTATCCATCATGATAACCATGGGTCGCTTCGGCAGTTGTTTCGTGGCCTGCCGCAAGAAAGCCTCGAAAACACTGGCGTCTTTCGACTTTTCGTTCATGCTGTAGTCCCACGAGATCACGTCCGGGTCGCTCCCCAAGAAATGTTCCATACAAAATCCGTAGGGAAATGAGGGAATTCCACCAATGGCTGCATTGCGGACCACCAATGGAATGTTGAAAAGTTCTTGCATCGGTCCTTTGAGGATTTCTTCTGCTACGAACGGAAAGGATTGTTTATAGAAATTTCCTCGTCCGACCGTGATAGAGTAACCCGAAAAGGCCATGACGAAGGGACGCTGTGCCCTGGCGGCCTCCATGATGCGGCGAGCGGTATGGTCAATTGAACCAAAAGAGTGCAATCCCTTTTCTAGCATTTTTTGGCCRTCTATTTTGYCACTAACATTGTAACGTGCATTGAACTCTTTGCGAATCTTGTCAAGAATTAATCTGGGATTGGTCTTCAACTGTCTCGGCGGTGGTACTTTGTCTGAAGCACTCATAGAACTCGTTTCATAAAATCCCCCCACAGTCGCACAGATCATGATAAAGAGCACCGCATACAGTATTGCTGCGAAAGGATTGGCACTTTCTTTTCGAGGAGCTTTTCTTATGCCAGGTCTAGTTCCTCGTTTCGCGGAGGTTCCTGCGCTCTTCCCAACGGTATTGTTGCCATTAACTGCCCTCGACCGAATCATGATTTCACAATGGTCGGAGTGACCTAATCGTCGTTGTCTTCGAAGTGATATTCTGAGTGATGTCTTTCRGGTCTTGGTGTGCAGACTTCGATTGTAAACCATATGCCCGGTGCAATGCATTTGCTGCGACTTCGGTATTCATCTGATTCGCTTCCGTAACCCTATTCACATTTCCAGCATCTAACGTTATTTTTCTTCATACGGTTCATACGTAATATTTTATTTTACTGCGCGGTCAT